CTCGTCCCTCGATGTTCGGTGGACTGTGTCTATTTCGCTTCTTTTCATTGTACTCATTCTCCAACTTTGTCAAACTGTGTTGGAAGAGAAGTAACGAAGAACGCAAATAAACCAGAATAGGACAAAGTGAGATACAACTATAGAGAATATTCATTGTCGACAACTTCTTATTTCTACCTGACTTTGTCGTATTGTGTTTCATTTGTAATCATCGTTTACGAGAATCAGCCAATAACAAAAGCTGCCGAAACCGAGGCGTTCATTGCGAGTGGACGTGACACATTTTCGCACTTGTCCCCTTAGTTCCATAAACAAGTTACCAAACATCGTTGGAGGACAGTACACACTCATTCACCTATAAAATACCGTCCGTATTATCTTGCCTTTTATTTTCGAAATTCGAACAGTGAATGAAAGATGGAACACGTCACTGTGTGATTGATTCGCGCAATTTACGATGATTTTCATTCTATTTATAAATTAACATTGGTCTTATTTCTCTTACGAAACAGATCGCAATATTCGATTGCTAAATAGATGAAAGTGATTAATAAAAAGCGTGACTAAACCGTATCGAATGCAATCAGCAGGGATTCGATGACAATAGAGAAACCCTGGGGGACAGATTACACGATTGACATTCAGAATTGTAGCAACCGTTGCCTGTTGTAACACTGTTGCCAATCCGTTTCACTTTATTTCATTGAATCCGTACCGCAACATAGGGCGATCGCTGCTGATCCATATATTTGCTGGCAAAATGTGTAAATCAGCGCGACCGATTAACTGTAAATTCTAATGACCGATACGCGGACACGTGATTGGTCCCCAGTCATTACTAACGTAGTCAAACACAGACAGCGTATGATTAGTTATATCGTAGGTTATAGATTTAGTTAAACCAAGCGAAAAAATACCTGGGAAAGAACTACGTGACTCACAGTCAAAATCGTATATCATGCAAAAGAATATGTTTTATGCTGTAACAAAGTTTGGGGTTGACTTGAAAAAGAAAATACAACGAATATACAGTGTCCGACGAATATACACATTTATCCGTATTTATTGTGTAGCAATAGCAAACAAAACGAACCTTTGTAAATATAACAAAAAATTAAGTTACTGCATTCAGTCTGTAAAATGCCTCACAGCTAAAATCGTACACGTATAAAAAAAATGAATAAACTAAAACTAGTTTTACTTTGAACTTAAAATTAATATTTTGTAAGATAGCTTCGACTGCATTCCTACGACTTTGAATCTGTTTGGCATCGATTTCACAAGTTCTTCAGTAAAATCAAATCTTTCTTAAATCGTTTTCATTTGAATTTGTGTGTTTTTGTATTCTTATTAGTAATTCGTTTCAACTATTTTCTATGATGTTCAAGTCGAATGATTGCGGAGGGGTATTAATTACTTTTGGGGCATTATACAATAACATTTTTACAATGTGCAGTATATGCTTAGGATCATTGTCACTATAAACTGTAAAGAATTCCGAAATGTTTCTTGTTCCGAGTTTATTCCGAATAGTTTTTTAGCAATGCTTTTCAAGTTTTTTTAAAGATATTTAAATAATCATAGTTATTTATAGTTCTTTCAATAAATTCCAAATTACCGATACCAGCAGCTGATACACAACCCCAGACCATTATTTATCTGCTGCCACGTTTAATAGTGGGGTTTAAATTTTATATTTTAAATTCCTGACTTGGTCTATCCTATACATTTACTTTACCATCTTTCTATTTATTAATTGTTGATTAAATTTACTTTCGTCAGTAAATATAACTCCTTTCCAGAAATTAAAGTTTTTATTTACAATTTCTAGTGCAAACTCCAGCCCCGCTTATTTTTCTTGTTAATAAACGATTTGTTTCGAGCTATCCTGCAGTGAAAATTATTCTTCCATAAAGCTCTTCTAATTGTATCAGGAGTAACATGTTTTCTTAAATATTTGTTTACCTTATTTGGTATTTGAGGTGCAGAAGGTTTTGGATTCTCCTTAATTTTTCTCACTATCCATCTTTCATCATACTCGTTTAATTTATCATTAGGAGCCTTCCTTGATTTATTCCCTACTGTATTTTATATTTTATAACGTCTTATAATATACCGGACAGTACTTGCACTTCTACTGATTATTTTAGAAATTTTTCTGTAGCTTTTGCAACATTCAAAACACTTTAAAACAAACTGCCGCATTTTTACCGATGTTCGTTTTATTTTTACTACCTTACCGCTATATTTTCTGATTGTAACAATACGCGATGTTTACTGACAGGCCATAACAATGCAACATTCTTTCGTTTAAAGTTATTGATTTGTTTTCAGGTATTTCTTGACAGGAATGCCAACAAAATGTATACCCTATGATGTTAGCTGTGACGCATTTTATAGACTGCATATAGTAACTTTATTTTTTTTATACTTACAATATATATTCGTTGTGTTTCCTTTTTTAAATTCACTCTTAACTTTTTTACAATATGAAACATATTCTTTTGCATGATGTACGATTTCGATTGTGAGTCACTGTATAAAAATTGCACGCGGCGATAAAATGAGACTTTAATTGATTAATAAACCTGTGTTCAACGTTTTAAAGGAATTTGTTATGTGAAACTTCCTCTGAAGGTTTAATCCGTTTCTTGCACTTTCTTATTGAAATTGATACGGAATTACATCAGTATATGTATTTAAAACCTATATTGTATATTTCTAAATACGTATTGATCGATCTACAAAATTTGGAACCGATATGTTCCACATATGTCTTTAAAGAAATTCCTGATACCGCTGCCTTTCACTATCATGCTAGAGAAATCTTCTGATATGTGAATTATTTTTGTGAGCTACAGTAATACGTATTGCTCAATCCTAATTTTACTTAGTCCCATTTAGTACAAACAAACGTTCAGTTAGCACCAGGTTCACAAGACTTCTTTCACCGATACAATGTTCTGTAAAAAAATCAAATCAATCAAACATGGATCGAAACATGTAAATTAACATACCTGTACACAGTATTATTGATTTATCATTACATGTACGAAAATATGTAGAAGCAAGCAATCCACACTATTAAAATACGTCGTAAAATAATAAACATGTTTATTATTTGTAAATTAATAAAATACGTAAAATAAAGTATATTTAAATATTTCTGTTGTTTTGTTTTTGTAAATTAGAACCAATTCTAATGTTCCAAATATTCGAATAATGTGATCAACTCTTCGAATTTATTATTCGCACTAATCGAAACCTACTTGTACAACAAAATGTGCAGGATGCCGCAGGTTGCGCTGATGGTTCAACTGAAGAAGGTATAATATTTATGCCAAAAAGAAATCAGAAAAATAGGATAAAATTTGTTTTATTTGAGATTTCGTTTTAGAGAAAATTAAATGTTTATATTTGTCGTGCACACGTGCACACGGCTAACACCCAGTTAAACGCAGATGGAACAATCGATAGGTAGTTATTTTACATACGAAAATGAGTAAAAAACCTAGTATAACCTTTTTTTCTATTTGAGTCCTCCATTTTGAAAGTATCACGTACCAACGTTTTCTACCAACTGACAGCCAAATGGGTATGTGCTCAAAAAATGTTTTAACTGAATTTTCTCGGAAACAGAATTTTAAATGAAAGAATTTTTATTTACATTTCTAACTTACTTTTTTATCCAGAATAATATCTCGTAGGTTCTATCACTTACAACTGGTCGATTTTGTTAAATACACGTATCCATACTTTTCATGTGAAGAAATTCTGAAATTTATTAATTTTGTTTCACACTTTTCACATAGAATCACCCTTCTATGCCACCAGTTACAGGAATACCATACATAAAACATTACTTCAAAATCTTTGTGAAATAAAGGTATCTAAAAGAGTTTAAAAATTAATATCATGTCACTTTGCTTCGAACAATGGGTAACGCATAAAGTTTCAATCAAAGTGAACAATGTTTGCTATTAACCCATTTGCATCGTACGGAAAAGTGGAAAATTGGTTCTTATCACCAAAAATGTGTTTTATTGCATCAAAGTAAAAATGGTTCAAAACGCATAGAAAATTAAAAACAAGCGTAAACAAAGAATTCATAATTTTATTTATCGCAACAAAGTTAATACACGTATTCCAATTGTTTTGAACGGTATGAAAGTGCTTCGAATGGCCAATGCATATAGCCACACGGCGATTATTCCACTTATAAAATGTATCTTTTCTTTTCTTTACGATATACAAACTACTTAACGTTCGCGAATTTTCTTCGATGAATTTCTTTTAATGAATATTGTTGCCATGTTATGGTGAACATACTGTAATTGTTCGTGTTCTTGTTCATATGCACTCTACTTATAATGCCCCAAAAGGTGGCGTGCATACATGCGTTCTGGTGATACAGATCAGGAAAAATCTTCGCATGTATGCGCTACTGATACAAAATGGGTTAAATTCTTCAAAGTGTAAATATTCCCAATTTTCTAACGTATCATCGCATATTCTAGTATACAAATATTATGTTCTTCTAAGGGAATCGTACACACTACTGGCACAAATTGTCCAACCAATTCTTCTCCTTTCAGAAATAGAAATTTAGGCTACTATTAGTATCTATCTGTCACTCTATTAAAAACTCCGGGTCTTTTTAACAAGGGCTACTCCGAAATCTTTCTCCTTCACGGTCGTAGAATGGATCGCGGCGATAAACGTGACTAAAAATTCCTTATCGGCCGTATTGCGCGCTTATTCAAAATCCCATCGCCCCACTAGCTCGGTACGACGTGATTTTTATCTCGCGATATCGTTGCAATCGCGCTTGCGAAAAAGCTCGGCTATTCTTTTCATAGAAGATCACCCAAGCCCCCCTCGTGCCTCCACTCTCCCTCACCCCCATAACTACGATATTACGAATGCCTGCACCACGTGCCGCTCGTGCAAAGTACGGTGCATTGTCGTCAGATAAGGATTTTTCGCTGAATCAGAAGAACAAGTTTCTCGTATAAAAGCCAGCAGACGTAAGCATTCCCTGCAGTATATACTAACTTAGTAAAGACCCTACATAACTGCAGTATATACTAACTTAGTAAAGACAGTAGAAATCATCCAACATGTTGCGAGTTGTCTTCCTCGCTCTTTTTGTTGTCGCAGCCTTCGGTGAGTGAGAATAAGCAATTATCGAAATTGGATCTAACCATTATCTTGTAATCGTATTTCAGTTTGAATGCAAAATGTTTGTTTCCATTATCGGTGATCTCTATGTGTAAGATCAAACAGTTATCGAAATTGGATCTCCCCTTCACATTACTTTCATCCACGTGTTCGTTGAAAATTTATGAATCGTTCCTTTATAATCGTATTTCCATTTTAATGCAAGATAGTTATTTTCATTGTCAGAGCTTTCAACTGGGAACAAACAATCATAGAAACTGGATTTTCTCATAACTTCTCTTTATTCGCGAGTTCGATGAAAGTTTATCAATCGTGGTTTCGTAATCGTGTTCCTACTTCAATGGAAAATATATTTACATCGAATCGTGCACGCGGAGATCTTATTAAAGGAAGATAGTGAAATAATTACGGTGGACGTATATTAAAACGATAATAAAAGTTTAAATTTTTATCTATTGAGTGCTAATACAATGTTGCTCTAACAGTGTCATTGACTTGATTTAATACCGCAGGCTCCGTGCTAAAGGTTCTCCCTCCGATGCCAGACTCCCGAATCGTCGGAGGAAGCCCAGTTGACATACAACAACATCCGCATCAACTCAGCTTGCAAACTAGCGGACACATTTGCGGTGCCTCGATCATCAGCAGTAGTTGGGCCATCACGGCTGCTCATTGCGTGGGGTAATAACGCAAATGCGTAAAGTTAACAGTGTTGTATGCACTACGCGAACGTGGAGTAATCTAATCAGTTTACCGCATGTAGGAATCTAGAGTGTGCCGCGACAACGTAAATAGTCTTTTGAGTTTACAACTTTTAACCCTATAGTGTTTTTTGGGTGCTTTTTAATACAAAAACACGCTTTCTATCTTCTTAGTACCGTTTCGTTTATTTAATCTCTTCAAATTAGTCGCGTTCTCATTTTGTCCAGAATAATTTTCAATTAAAAGATGGAAGAAATTGTTAGTGGTTTACGGTTTCTACCTTTTTCATAGTACTTATCTTACATATATTGACAAACTGTGAACCGTAGCAAGGCTAGTATTTTTTACTACATATAAGATTATGTAATTAGTACCTGATGACATCTAATAAGTGCGAAAATAGACAGTTATGTTATTGTGATTTTTGTTCACTTTTTGTGCCAGGATGTAATAATTTGGTTATATGACCTGTCAGCTTAGACGGTTACGTTAGTTATTTCTAAGTGAACTATGTCGTTACATGGTTTTTGAGAATCGAGTTTCACTTGTATTGTTGACCAGTGTGGTATAATGAACACGTTGAAAAATAAATAGCTGCAACGTGTCATTGGAGTGAACAATTTGATAGGCGTCATTCATACGCTAAATTGAATCGATAACATTTCGATGGTTCATTGATTATAGATCAGCTCCCAGTCGATACAGCTTGAAAGCTGGTAACAATGACAAGGACAAAGGTACACGCTACAGTGTGAAGCAAATCATTAGACATCCCCAATACAACTCGCAGACTATCGACTATGACGTTGCTCTTATACAGGTAAGTGAAATTTTATTAGGTATTAATTAAAAACTTCGTTATCAATTTTACGTCAATATTGATCAATGTCAAATAGTTAGAAGTTGAATTTACTTTGGAAATTGATCTTGGTTAATGGAACAACTATAATAGTATTGAAAACAATTAATGATATCAAATTAGTAACACACATCTTATTTTTTACTGTATAGTATCATTTTAATTTATAGTCAATGTTACTTGTTTACAATATTGAGAATAATTGATAATGGGTTCTACATAAAATATAACGCTGTAATAAAATAGAAAAGATATGTACATAATTACTTACTGATGTCTGAGACAATCAATTAAATATATACCCAATTTAAAAAAATTCAATTCTCCACATGAATACAGAAAATAATACAGTGCAAATGCTGTTGCAGATCGATGGACAATTCAAATTCGGCCCGACCGTAAAAGCCATAAACCTGGCTAACTCGGAACCGGCAAGCAACAAAGTGGTAGACGTCACTGGCTGGGGAGCACTCAGGGTGAGTTGTCAAACTGTTCAAAATTTAACTTCCTGTTATGCTTTCACAGTTGTCAATTACAAATCTGAACCAATAAATTCCCATTTCAATGTAACATTTTCTCCGACAAATAATTAAAATAGCCATAATCTTACGAAAATTTAAAAAAAAATCAACTTCGTTCATACATTTTCTAGAAATATATAAAGGAAGTTCGACTTATTTACTTTCCAAAATTTTCCAAAAGATAAAAACGGAGAAAGGAGTAGTAACCGATTTTAAACGTGCTCATACATCAGAATTTATTATCGAACAATAATTCTTGAACACTATTTCTACCGAAGGTATGAAAATACACCTTTTGAAATTTTTACTTAAAATTATTTTCCGAGTTTAGTCGTATATTCTGAATTGACTTTTAGACATATCCAATAACGATTATAAAATTACCTATAGAAAATGTTGAAAATTCAATTGAGGACAAATGATTAAACCGAGAAAATAACTTTAAATTAAAATTTCAAAACACGTGTTTTGACACCTTCGGTATAAATAGTGTTAAATTAGAGAAATGTACTCTTTACTAATTTCAAACTTTCTTAAACTAACTACAAAAAAAATCATTATAACAAAGATTAAACGTAGCTAATTTCAATTGAATCATACCTAATGTATTTTCATTGAAGATACATAATCTTCGGATCTGTTTAACGTCCTTACAAAATTTAGTGAAAACAAATTCACTTGTTCTATACAAGTAAAACATTAGTTTTCAACACCTGAAATCCGTCATTACGATTCGCACTATAATGAAAAGATGCTTGGCCATTTACAATTGCTCAACCCATAATTCATCGTCGAGCGTATCAGTGCGGCATCGAGACAGTCCTGTAAAACCATAATCTGTTTTACATGAAAGACTCGTTTCTCAAAATTCGCGCTTTACTTACTTCGCAGGAGGGCGGATCGACCTCGTCGCAGCTTATGAAGGTGTCGGTCCCCATCGTGGCCAGAAATAAGTGTCAGGAATTCTACGGCCGCATGAACACAATATCCGCCCGAATGATATGCGCTGGATACACAGAAGGTGGCAAGGACTCCTGCCAAGGAGATTCTGGTGGCCCGCTGACGTCGGCTGGCACCCTTTACGGTATCGTTTCTTGGGGCTACGGATGTGCTCATCCTAAATATCCTGGTGTTTACACGAATGTTGCCAGCCTCCGTTCCTGGATCAAACAAAACAGCGGTGTTTAAACAAGGGAAGAGAAATTACGACCGTTCACTACAAATAACATTGGATTTCCTCAAATTTCAATTATATCATTTTAAGTTAGGCTAATGTAGTAGATGCATATGCACAAATTGTTGTATACTGTAAGACTTAACTTACAGTTAATACACATTAATAATTGTGTGTAGAATTTGAGTAAAAATGAAATAAATAAACTGGTCTAATGAAATTCAGTGTCTGTATTATTTCAATACTTTCTGATATATAATGGACATTTTCGTGGTGAGAAATTTCGTTGTTCTTAGTGGTGGCCACGTGTGAACTCCTATCGTGTGTTATCCGCGATAAGTATGAGTCTACCGCAGTGAAAAAATTTATATCCTGAGTCTAAGCACAGATATTTATACAAACACTTCCCAATTACTATAGTTCTGCTCCGTCGAGTTGACAGACTACCGACAAGTTGAAAGGTCAGGGGGGTAAGGAGACACCACCACTCATGATGTTCGGACCGCCTCACTCTTCGGTGCATGGCCGTAACCGTAGTTTACGCCGCGCGGCAGTAATTAAGGACGCAAGCAAGACCGAATGTGACGAAATAAGTTATAACGATAGTAGAAGAAGTTGACGGCACTATGAACTTTGATCTCTATCGTTACACCTCACTTCATCGCATTTAGTCTCGCTTTAGTTGTACGGTCATACACTCGCGACTAGAAAGCCTTAGTGAATTGAAACCGCGATGACCGGTGTGCTCGACAACAAATTAGTGTCACGAAGACTAGTTAGGAATTAGAGGTATGATGAAAATAATCACAATATTTGTGACATCATGAGTTAGTTCGTATACATACAGTCGCGGACAAAAGTAAGTAGACAGGTAGTGAAAATGAGTATTAATGATGTTTAATGAAGATACTTGTATTATTATATAACTAAGTTTTATTGATTACGTATTTTCATTGTATGTACATTATTCAAGCAACAATGGAAAGTAATATTTACAGTTCTGTATAAATAAATAATATTTATTGAATAAGGCTACCAAATAAGTGAAGATAAAAGTTAATGAACACATAACACAGTAATTGTAAACTACTATTATTATCATAAATAATTAATAATTAATATTTAGTATTATTGCCCTTTACTTTTACAACTGCCTCTAAACGACGCGACATATCATTTAGTAAGTTTTCTATATAAGTTTTATTAATTTGTGCAAACGCTGTAGTCAAAGAGTAAAAAAATATTTTTTTCTTATTACAACTATCTAACGGTACTTTAGAATTTAGTACACTCCACAAATTTTCAATAGGATTTAAATTCGAGTAACTTACTGCATGAATCTTGAAACATTGTTGAGTTTTCTTTACGGTATGTTTTGGGTCGCTTTCTTGTTGAAATCTTCATCTAAGCTCATTTTTAGCACTGATAACTCTAAATTTTCGTTTATTATGTTAATATACTTGTCTGCATTCATTATACCATCAATGAGCACTAATCTTCCACTCCCATGATACGAAAAATATCCCCACACCATCAAAGATCCACCTCCAAATTCTACTGTCGGCGTAATAAATTGTTTTTTATATGCTTCATTAGGTTTCCTACATACATGCTTCTGCCCTTTTAATTGCCGTAACTAAAATTTGCTTTCATCAATCCAGATTACTTTTTTCCAAAAGAACACTGGCATATTAATGTATGTTTTTGTAAAAACAAAACATTTCTTTCTGTTTCTTTCACTAATATTACATCTAGCCCTGCGATTATAAAATCCAACTTCACGTAGACATCGTTTTATAGTTTTCGTCGATGCATTCAATTTTTATGATTCCGCTAACTTTCGGGATGAAGTCACTGGATTTCGTCGACATTCGCGGACAATTCATCTATCATCGTGCACAGTGGTACATTTTTTCCGTCCACAACTTTTTAAATTATCTACAGTGTAATGTGTTAAAAATTTCTTGTTTATTTTATGAATTGCACTTTTCGATACTTGATACTTGTCTGCTATCGTACGATAACTTACTCCTCTGCAACGGTCCGAAATAGTCAAATTTCGAATTTGCAATGAAAATTCTCTAATTTTTGGCATCCCGATAATATTAGCAGACTATCTTACTGTTACGAAAACATATTTCGAACTGCTAAATGTTTGTTTACAATCTGTGTATCAGTCACAAGCACATGACGTTAGTTCACATTTCGTGAAATCAAATAACATTGCAATGTATCTAATGTAAATTCTAAATATATCTAAATTATGTAATCTATACATAACTGTAAATAATACTTTCAATCATTGCTTGAATAATGATTATATAATGAAAATACGTGGTCAATAAAATTTAGTTATATAACAATACAATTATCTTGATTAAACATCATTAATAGTCATTTTTACTACCTGTCCACTTACTTTTGTCCCCGATTGTATGTTTTAGTGTGGTCGGCTCGATATTGACATGACTGACATTTCCAGGAAGCTCTAGCGGTAATTATTTACAACACTGATTCCTCGCCGATTTGGATGACCTTGAAATATATTGTCAACTTTTGAACAACTTTTTCCTATACATATTACCGCCGTTCGGACTTGGTTTTTCAAATGTTTACAAAAATTAGTCCGGAAATGGATAGTTTTCATACTTGTTTACAAAAAGAGTAATCCTTGTATGACCTTGATTTAGACACACATTGTTAAGGCAATTCTTCCAAACATCCAAGATTTTAAACTTTTTGGAAGTTAGTATTAGTTCAAAAGTTATGAACTATTAAAATTTTACATTGCGTTAGAAAGTTTCGTTCTCACTTTCATTTTTTGAGGTCGCGTTCCTTATAATATGTATGCTTAAACTTCATTTAGATAATAGAGATTGGTATTAGTGAGGCTAATTTTTTCCGGGTGGGAGTGCTGTCCTTCCCCACCTTTCAGAGAAACCAATCCCACTAATATCAATTTCTGTTATCTAAATGAAGTTCGATTAAACATATTATAAGGAACACCTTCAATGAATAAAAATGAAAATGAAAATTTCTAGCACAATGCAAAACTTTAATGCTTCATAACTTTGGAACCAATACACACTTTCAAAAAGTTTAAAGTCGTGAGTGTATATAACAATAAGCTTAACAATATATGTGAAGAGCAAAGTCATACGTAGGTTATTCTTTTTGTAAATGAGAACGGAATTTCCTCCTTCCGGAACATACTTTCGCGAATATCTAGAAAACTAGATTTCAGATATTAACTATATACAATATACTTGCGCTAGGTGGGTCCAAGGGTGCTCGCCCGCGACATAATTATTTACACAACGTTCTTTTTACAGTTCTATTTACAATTATATACAAATGTCGTACAATGTAGTCTTTAGTTTGATACATCCTTTCTTGTTCACGTTCGCTCGAAGACTGCTCGCTTGTCTTTGTTTACTCTGACTAACTTCTTAGCGACCAGTTTGTTTCAATTGCCTTCAGATCATAAGGGTTGGTTCAGCCGTGCGTGCTGGAGGGACGAGTTCGAAACATCGCAATCTCGTCAGTTTTATGTATCACAACAATACTATACTATACTAGGTCTTCAGAATCAAGTGCCACGCAACATATTTCAAGGTCATCCAAATGGGTGAGCAATCAGTGTTGCAAATGATTACTGTCCTAGCTTCCTGGAAAATATGTAACCGTTCGGGCGAGGACTTGCTGCTGAGGTAAGAAAGAATACGCTCATTAGTGAAAATCTGGATCGAAATGGAACTACACTTTTGTTGATTAAATTAGTAGGGGTAACTAATGTCCCACCTCGCTTGTTGGATTTTCTCAGGTACCGCTTGCTCTGGCTGTCGCGTGTGATCGTCGGATGGCCAGTGGTTCCTAAAGTCCTGACGGTCGTAGGTAATAAACTTAGAAGATCATAGGACACGTCGAAATTATTTACTTCACCAAATTCTGCAGCGACCTTCAACAGTTGCAAATTTTTACCGGACATTTTCAGAAAATTTTAGCCTCTTTACTGCAACTTAGCGGGCTTTCCGATTTATTGCTAGTGTTAGGCGAACGTTACTGCTGCGCGGCCAATGACGACTATGCGTCGAAGACCGAAGCAGCCCGGACATCCTGAGTGGAAGAATCCCCCTACCCCTCTGACTTTCCAGCTTGTAAGTGATTTGCCACCTCATCGGAGCACTAGCATACTCAAAACTTCGGAGTAAGTAACATTGACTCATTGCCTTATGGTTTATTTTTATACAGCACTAGCAAAGATTACTTTGTCGTTATTAATTTCATGATCATATCACGTTGAATATACAGGACGTTTCCGAAAATGTGGGCAGAACTTCAAGGATAGATTTAGCGCGCTAAAATAAGAGAAAGAGTCCGCATAAACATATGCCCGATATGATATTGTTTCTGAATTATAGTCGTCTTTATGCGTAACTTGTTATTTAACACTAGCGTAGCAGTCAAAATGACTGGTTTCGACTTTTCTGTTTCACAATTATTAATATCTTAAAAGTATTGAATATTTGAAATGATCTTGAAAATAACTAGTTTCACTTGAATACTATAATGAATGTCTGAAGAAAGTGAAAATAATCTACTGTTATCATTTTTATAGGGATTACATATTAATCGTAATAAATTCTCGGTAGTTCAAGTGGCCACCGTATGTGTGGTAAAAGACTTATATACCTTAATAAATGAATTAGTCGTAAAGGATCAGTACGATCACCTGATCTAAATCTATTGAGTTTTTATTTATGGGGCACCTACAGTTTTTAGTTTACAACGTACCAATAAATGATGCTGAAGAACTGCAATATCGTATTCAATACAGTCGTCGACGAATTCCAACACCTGATATACTTTCGAACGAGTGAGAAGATCTGTGATGCAACGTTTGGAAGCTTTTCTTTAAGCTGGGGGTGGCCACTTTGAACAGTTTGTATGAAAGTGATTAAATAACAGGTTTCACATAAAAACAGCTGTAATTCAGAAACAAGGTTATATCGGGCATATATTAATATGAACTCTCTCATATGTTCATATGAACTTACTGAATCTATTCCTGAAGCTATGCCCACATTTTAGGAAACACCCTGTATAGCAAGTTATATTTATTATTCAAAACAAGAAATACTAAATTGCACAATTGTATGTTCAATTTTGAAGCAATAAGTTGAAAGAAACAACATTACCCATATGCATCCTATAGTTGGTTACTTACATCATCCCAGCCGGTCTGCGCTGAAACAGAGTAGCAAAGAGGGACGTCCAACTCGCGGCGCTCGACCCAATAGTGATGACGGAATTAGTTTCAGCACGTTTTTGTTACTGGCCGAACCGCGAGCTGAGGTGATGCGTGCGGCCGAATCCTCTTGCCCCTCTTCACTTTTGAACCACTGGCCAGCTGGGATCATGTGAGTAACCAACTGTATGCATACTCTTGCATGCATCGATTACAATTTGATAACATTCATTGTAACTGTATAATCCCTGTAAAAATTTCAGGTTCATAAAAGTAATAAAGTTTTTTTTTCAATCAGTTTAAACTAAACTTAACGAGATCATTTGAATTATAGTTTAAATTATAATGGATTATATTGAACCGATATTAAAATTTATTAAATTCGGTATAAAATCTTCGCGAAGTGGCTGACTCGTAAAATCTATTAAAAAACACAGTTCACAGATTTCAGGGAAGATTATACGAGCCAACGAAGCTTGTAAATTGAGTTCCCTCTAATGCTGAGAAATTAAAATGGGAGTAGGAAGATAGACTGGGATGTTTCAGAAGTAATTCGTTTTGCCTGTTTGCATAACGTATCGAATAATAAAACAGGAAGACATCGTTTGAAAATAGAAACCAGATCGACAACTGAGCAGTTTATTGAATTACCAAATGTTTCCCAGAGGTTCTTTAAACTTTATTCGCTAGTTTAACAGTATCGACGGTATTTATTCAGATCCCAGTATTATCGAAACCTTTCAATCTGTAGGAATATATTTTTAACTTTGTTAATGAAAGTTTTAGTAGTAGTAGTTAGAGAAGCTGCAAAATTTTCCAGCAACCAAGGACAGCACAATAATGATCATATTAAACGATATGAAGCCTTGTCAATAAAATATATTAGTGCAAACATTATGAAATTTTCAAATTATTTGAAAATTTGGAAGTAATTAATTTTCATGTAACTAAAAAAATTCTAATAGAGTATTAAGCAAAATTAAAATTACTTTTAATTGTTCAAAACTATTATACATGTAAAAAATTTACATATACTCCTATGTTGGTCATAAGCAGACTATGAATGTTTATGTATTTAGCGCATATTTTACTTTATAAAACAGGATAAAATAAATTACAAAAATATATAGAAACTCTTTTAAACATTTATTAATGAAACGTGCAAGAGAAGAATGCATATCATTAGGATTTAATAGAAGAATTTAAATGAATTAAACGTGGATTTATTCGTCAGGTTGTTCATTAAAAATGATATATAAAATAAAATTTCATCAATCATATTAAAACCGTATAAAATTTTATCAATTATATTAAAACCGTATAAAATTTTATTAATCATATTAAAACCGTATAAAATTTTATCAATTATATTAAAACCGTATAAAATTTTATTAATCATATTAAAACCGTATAAAATTTTATCAATCATATTAAAACCGTATAAAAAGATTCTAAAAGAACCCTATAAAAAGTGAGTGCGTCTCAATAAATTTTAAATACTTGAAAAACTTAACATGCACTACTGCGTTGATTATAAGCCACGATAAAATATTTTCCTATTTTACTGTTTCCACAAGCACATTATTTACAAACAAAACTCGTAGATAAGAAAGATTGCCGAATCCTTAAGAAGTATTGGTCAATAAAGGTTGTGCATTATGAGCATTCACATTTGAAAAGTGCATATTGTGTACACATACACATACACATGGATGACGCATACAAGAAATACGTTTTACTGAGTGCGCTCCGTCAATTAATTTTAAATTGGTTCGAATCGACTGCGCGACTAATCTTGACACGATTGTTCCATTATCTCGACCTGGATACGATATCGCTAATCACAATCTGCTTCGAACGTGCTCGTCAACAGAGACAGAAATCTTTTTTACCTAACGCAGAAGTTCTTTTTCCGTCGTTGTAGCGAAGCGAAGGTAATGGATTACCGGTGATCTTTTGAAGTTCACGGGACAAGGCGCTTTCAAAAGCGGTTAATAGGCGATAACAACCACTTATCGCTGACAAAATTCGATCCCGTGCGTCCCTGATAACTCTAGAACTCAGTCCTTCTTCCAATAATTTGACAGGTCGGACCTAATTCCGTATCAATTCGCTTCGAAATGTCTAAGAAAGTACTATTGCTGCTGTGCATCCTATTCGAGGATGGTAAGTTGGATGTCACGTGATTGCCATCGGTATTCAATTCCGCGTTCAATTTTCATGCAAATATTCTTAACTTTCTGCGCAGTTTTCGCGTCTGCGAACACCAGGCGTGTGAGCATCCTGGATTATCCATATCACGTAAGTATCTATTGTGCAGTGTAGAACAGAAATTAGGGAACGTTGCGTTTCCTACGAAATGAATAATTATATGCACATAAACATTTTATTACACGCTGGAAAATTAATGTGATAATTATGTGGATTAATGACAATTTTAATAACTTTGAAATATGCTGTCAAGGTCATCACTCTGAACAACTATTGTCTACACATGTTATTGAAGCTGAACTTTAAGTTTTGAGATGTACGTAAAAATATTTCGAACATTGTGTATGGAATGTACTGAATGTTTAAGAGCTTGAGTTAAATTTCAGGTAGGTAAATTAGGTTTAGGTTTGACTTATGTACCGCCACAGCCGGTTTAAGTAGTCGAGCGCAAAATCCCTTAGTGTCATGATTTCTTTACTACGCCCACAAAAATTCTTATCAATGTAGTCTTGTTCATATGTTACTGCATGAATAAGTAAAAAATTCTTGTAATACAATTTTTTGTGTTATAATGTTAAGCCAGTACAGCTTTTTATAGAATTTTACTATATTTTAGCCGTTACAATTTTTCGAAAAAGGTCAAGTGAAATATCTAAAAGAAAAAATGGGACACTTATCTTTTACTTCTATTAGTTCTGACGAAAATACTTATGTACAGCATTTAGAAATGTGATACATTGCACTAGAAAGAGTTTTGTATTTACATATTTCCAGTACAGTTTTGACATAAGAATCAATTGATAGCGTTACTGACTCCTTTTATTTAAAAGTATACTCTAACCAAATACGGTATATAATATTGAATACATTTTTACATACATTTCTGAAATTAAGGCTGAGCGATCATAACATACGCAGGGAAAATTTACGTAGAATTGTATCCCTGACATATTTCAAGGTTATTGAAATCGACGAGGAATCAATAATCTATATAATTACCATTAACGTTTGTTAATATTTCAAATAAATATTTAATAATTAGTAATCACATTGCAGGAAGAATAAAGTAAAAAATTATTTCACAAAAGCAAAATAAAAAATATGTATACACGAATTATTCATGCAATAATGTTTGACAGAACGTTTATTTAAAAATCTTAAAGTCCAAGGTCATTTGAAGGTTACATCACAAACTTGTCTGAATAAATTTCTTTGCGTGCTACAAGATTTTCGTCATTTCACTAATAGAGAAGATTCAGGAGATCTGGTTTCCTAGAAAAATTCTGTATATCTATCATTCATGAATATAAATTTTACTCATTCATCATTTGAAAGAAAATGTCTATTATTTTCTACTTATGCAAATTTATAGTGTTCAAGGCTCTCACTTTTATAACCAACATATAATATCTTCTCTCCTGCAAAAAATTATTTTGGACTAAACTAATTTGAGTCTAATCGCATAAAACATCATAAATGAGATTAAATTTCCTTTCACCATTTACATAGAGAACAAAGAACAAAAATATAAATCAAACTTTAAAGAATGCTAATTGTTCTTCAAGTTAGAGATCTTTGAAAAATTTTTGTTATATAACTTTCCAATAAAATCTTCAGTGAAATATCGATCCTATCAGAATGTTTCACCTCTGTTTCGTGGTATCCAATAATTTCTCAAATTTTCACTGACAGAAACAAAGTATTTAATAAACAAACACACAATATGCTTTTCACATCCCTATCTAACCACACCGTTTCACCACTGGCACCATGTGTATCAAGTATCCTGCTTCACCAGTTGCTACCGAAATTTACACTGACTCTCCCACTGTCTCATGAACTCAGCAAACAATGTTCGATACATATTTTCTATTAAAATGCAATATTAATTGCTACACATCCTGATATTCTGCGAAAAACATGATAACGAACAATAGCAAAATCGTCGAAAGTTTGCGGTGCTGTACCGAAGTAACGAATTGAAATTGTTTCGGATTATTGGAATGGTCACGCGTTCAAATCACCGCCGTCTGTAACGCAGGTGTCCATCGAGAGGTATAGCAAACACGTGTGCAGCGGAGCGCTAGTCCACGAGTCCTGGATCATAACAGCAGCCTCCTGCGTTTTCAGGCGAGTATCTCCTCTCTTTTCAACTTTCGAGACAGAAAGTCAGATCAGTTTTTACCCATTCGATCACTTCGTTGTGAAATAAATGTGAACTCAAATGCAACACTTTCCAATTACCAAAAAACATACCTGGATGTAGAATATAACAATTTATTTGCATAAATCAAAATAGGTTATTTAAAAAGAAATAAAGTAGTTTAAAATGAATTGCTTAATTAGAAATAAAATTATATATGTAATTTATTTGTATTGTTTTGAACAATGAAACATTAGAATTTGCAATATTAATTGCAAGCAAGAGAATCGCATTAATGCTGAAATGATGAAGTACTCTGATGAAGTAATCTAAATGACTAATAACTCATAATGACCGACGGTTATATTTCCAAACTGATTTTCATACAGAAACAAAAATATCTATTTTGTTGTGAAATTATTTCCTCTAATTTAAACCTTTGCTTTAAAATGAATTTCTTTTTATTTTAAGAATTGAATAAGAATGCTGTAAGAATGAGACAATACTATTTTCAAGTTAACTTGGGAAATTAACACAAACCAATTGAAAATCAAGTACTATTTCAAACGTGCTATAAGTTCATAATGATGTTAAACTTTTTCACTGTACATGAATCTCACATTTTTTTATTGTTCCAATAAATACAGTTTCAACATTGGAGTTGCCTTGCTTTTGTTCCAAAGTAGAAAAAAGTAACAAATATCAACTAAAGGAAAGAAATTTAAAACGAGTGTATATTTTATTATAATCATTGTTGTAGTGAATAATATATAACACTTAAGAGTGATAATATTTAAATGTTTTAATGAAATAAAATAAAAAGAATAAGTAGTTAGTAATTATTAATAAATATAATTTATTAATAATACTAATAATAAATTTCCTAAGAATAATTTCTTTTCACGTCACATGAAAGATCATATTTTCAAAAGTGGAATTGCATATTTAACGAAAACTATGTTAAAAATGAAGCTGTCTCTTTCTTGCACCAAACCCTTCAATATTCGAAAAACCAATGTAACAAATCAAATATGATCTAATAATCAATTATGGTATAAAAGCATACTGGATACTTAGTACTTTAAGTACCAGCGGATACTTAGTATTTCTTTAACGACCAGTGACAACCAAGGATTTCTAATAAATTTTTCAATCGAAATATTATCTACAAACACGAATCACCATTACTTTTTAGATAACAAATACAGCAATTTCTTTTATTATATACTAAATATATACCTAAGTTAGAAATTATTACCATTTACTAATAATTATGTAGGAAAAAGGAGAGTTTATTCGTAATAAACAATATCTTTAACATACAACTCACAATAAAACAACCAATCAAAATCAAATCACACGCACAATATATACATTCGGATAAACATTCATCTCTCTCGCACAGTTTCTAGAACATTCTTTCGTCACCATACATTAACTTCACGTAGGTACATTTGGAATATTCCAGATTCATTTATCATGAATGCAAAAATCAATATTTCAGGAAATTAATTAGTCTAAAATGCCCCAACGTCTTGAACATTTATCCATATTGCACACGCACGCTCGGTCACCAATACATCCGTTCCCACAATTATTACATACTCACAGAAAAATGATTAATCTTTTCAACATAAGATTAACATTAAAAGATTTATTAGGAGATATTTGGTAGGAAAAGCTTTAAGGGTTAAATTTACATTAGGCAGCGCAAATTGCTTCGTGGTAAAAAGATCTGCGAAAATTCACGAAACCATGATTGCTTACAGGGCGGACCCATCCACGGTGTTCGTGCGGGCTCGCACCGACAAGCTCGTGTCGGCTGGAGATCTATTGGAGGTCAGCAGGATCGTCGTCCACGAGGATTTTGATAAATACGTGCTGCTGAATGACATCGCGCTAATAAAGGTACACAGGCCGCTTTTGAAACGGCTAAAAGCACATTTATTTCGGGGCACTTCGACCCAGCCAGCTGAACGTTTATCACGTCCATGCGCACGCCCGGAAATTTTATTACAGTTTTTCCGTGTCGATACGGCGAGCCTGCCCACCGACACAATCGTTATGGATTGCAATTTCCCCGGAAGCTCGTATGTCTTCCGGAAGAGAACGTATTAGCGGGAGGAACTAACATTGAAATATTAATGATTCGCTGCGCGACGGTAATGCCTCGTGATCCCGTGCGCTCTCGTGAACGAAAAGAATTTAATAAACGTTGGAACAGTGATGCATTGTTGCTTGGTCAAATGTACCGCGCATCGGTCCGAGACGCTAATTATTGAGTTAATTATACAGCGAATGAAACACACGGGGGTAGGATAATTGTTTTCACTTGTGAGATTTACAATGTTCCGTTGCTTTTCGTATAGTCGTTTCTGCAGATAATAACAAGAGCGGAATATCATGTAACAAAAGGTCTGTAAATGCTTTATTTGGAAGTTATTACAAAAATATGGAACACACAGGATACGACGGCCAAAGTTTTTTCCAACTGAACGCAGTTACGTGATTAGCTCAAAATATTCTATTATTAGTAAAACAATTCAAATTGCTTTTCAAAGTATCATTTAACAAGACATATAATATAATTATAGTACATTCTCATTAATTATTTTTTTAAGAATTTTAAGAACACCTGCAATTTTTAATACTTTTATAAAATACTATAAGAGATAGTATTACGTGAAATTGAACAAAATTTAATTAATATTAAATATTAAAAATATCAAGAAAACTAAGCAGTGTTCCAAAATGTAAAAATATATATATATAATTTGTTTACATTTTATATTTTTCGTAGAATTTTTTCATCCTTAATTTTTTATTTTTTCTGTTCAGGCTCACAAGGTGTACATTATTATTAATTACTTTTGATCGTATATAAGGTTTATATGTTTCGGTTTATTTATTTTGTGAATCGCATAAACAAAGTTTGTACAAAAGTTTATGAGACAACCTGTGTGAAAAATAATGCAATGAAATGTTTACATGAAAAGATTAACCAAAATGTTAAAAATAATGGTATGGTGTCTATTAATGAAGTTAAAGGTTCCTGTTCAATTCGGAGGAAAATTACTACCAATTGTTCTACCGGGTGTATATGATTGTGACCCCGATGATGGAGCGATTTGTTACGTGACAGGATGGAAACACAATCTCGTGAGTATTTCTTTTTGCCTACAATGTATTAAAACTGTGTATTGAATTTGTTTCAATATAATTTCTACTTGGTAGTGTATAAAATTGCATGCGTATCCTCAATAGGTATTACGCATTCTATATCTTATCACTGGAAAATTATTTTTAATCTATCCAGTTACTGCAGAGTAATAATTATCTTTCTGTGTCATCGCGCTGTTATTAAAGCGCAAGCCTGTCCACTAAATATTCAGTTTTACGCGATTCGATTAAATTTCGGCGCAGATATGAGACCTATATAAAGAGAAAACCGTAAAACGAACGCGGTCACCTTTTATGGTCGAGTATTTTTCGATCCATAAAGAATCAAACTTAAATTCTAATCAGTTTCATTGATAATAAATAACTGAAAAATCTTATAGATAATAAAGTAGTGTTCATGCTTTCCTAGATAATTATATTAAAAATAGTTATATCATTAAGATAATATTACACAATTCTCCCATCTATAACAGTTTTCGAGGCATTCATTAGCTTTAAACAGTTTTAAGCAACAGAAGAAAATACAAGTGAAAATACATTTTTATGAAAATTAGGTGTATTATAATAAGGTTTAGAAACGGTACGTACATGTGTGTAATAAATGAAAAAATATCAAATTTTAGGACCGTTGCTCGAGTTGCAACTTCAATCTGTTTCTCTGTTGATTTGTAATTTTTCTACCATCAATACTTTATCTTTAACGCTAGAACTACCGAGCAGTAACTGATTGTTCTTTATTCTCTTAGCAGGGGTTGAAAACAGTTATGATATCGATTCTTGAAGCAGTTACGAAGAACCGAATTAATGCCATAACTGTTATTCGGCATATCAATTTTGAACTATATCAGTCATTATATCGGTTCTACATCGGTTTTATAACTATTATTTTTTTAAAATAGAGAACCAAAACACAACAGTTATAGAATCAATATATTTATTCTTAAGAACCAGAACCGAAATCGATATACTGATAAGGTACAGTATCGAAACCGGAAATTCAAAATTTTGAACATTTGAACAATCTTTAAAAAATTTTGTTTTGGAACTTTATACACGTAAAAGAAGAATGTATATT